GGGGCGCGGGGCGCGACGGTGGCGCACGGCTCCCAGACGATCCGCCTGGTCTGCAGCCCCGCAGAGCCTTCTTACTCCGCCGGGGACACAGCCCAGCGACTGCGACCGGCCCCGTCACGCACGGCAGCCCCGCCCACAAGCCGCAAACCCCGCGCTGGCCTGCCCCTAAGTCAGGCGCACACGCACAGGAGGCCACCAACCCACTGTCCCGCACTGGAGCAGCCCACGCGTTCCGAACGCCGCCCGCGCAGCGACCTGGAGGGGATGTGAGGATGCAGCGTGCGCCCCCCTCCCCAGGTCCGCCCGGTCAGACCCAGTTACCTGGGCGGGCTGCCCGGCGGAGGGAGCCAGGCCAGGCCGGGCCGCCTCACACCGGCGGCGGCGGCGGCGGCAGCGGGAGCGGGTCCTCCCGGCGCCCTCTCCCGGGAGTGGTGGGGGCGGGGCCGCCTGCGGATTGGCCGGCGGGCAGTGATGGACAGCGGGCCTGTTCCGCCCCGTTCCCCAGCCAAGCTAGTAGGCCGCTCTTGCGACGGCAGGACCCACGTCTGTCTTGCCCCTGTGGCCTGGCTGGCTTTCAAGGGTCCCCTCATTCGGAGAGGGTCCCCCCGGCGTGAGGACCTTCTGCAAGACCTTTAGACTCACAGCCGCACAACCTGCAGCCCCCGCATCTATGCGTTATAACCCTGTCTCACGCTCGGTCCCCAAGCGGGGCGAGGACTCAGGCATTACCTCACCGCAACTCTTTCTGCGCCTGTTCTCCCCAAACTTTGTTTTTCTTCCTTCCTCTGTGGCCGCTGCCTCTTGGCCTCAAAAATCTTCCCCTCCTCCAAACCCAGTGCGACCTAGTTCCCATGACGACCTGCTCTTTCCCTTGGCTTCACCCGCTATGCAGGCTTCCGCAACAAGAAGTCTGTATCTCCACTTCACTCCACTCCCCAGTGTCTCACCGCCTGCTCCACATCCCCACTTAATGCAAGCCTCTCACCTTCCCTCCCTGTGAACTGTCCCTCATCCTCACTTTCCCAAAACAAGTTGCTGAAGCGAAAATCTTGAATCTTCTCTCTGCACCACCCCCAGGTCAATCTATAATTCTACTCTAAGATAATGGTCCACTCAACCCATAAGCCCAAAGCTCCATCTTCTCTCACCCAGGCTATTAATCCTCCTTAGTCTTGCCTGGATCTGTTGTTCTCTACGCTTTGCATTTTAAAAATTATGTCAGGATCCCCTACTTTTGACCTAAAACCCTGCAAGACTTGCCATTGCACCTAAAATCCTCACTCTCTACTTGGCCCAGCCCTTCCTGGGTGACCTGGCCCCTGGCCTCCAACTTCCTCTCTCACCCCCAACCCTTCACTCTCTATTCTCCAGCCGTAGGGCCTTTCTTACTGTTGAATAATTCATAGTCTTCATCTTTCTGAAGCTGTTTTTTAATCTCACCCCTACAGTCTATCTAGCCCTGTCACAGCACTGCCAGAACTGAGGACACCTTCGGTCATGGTGGAGCCTGCCTAACAGGTTGAGCTAGGCAGTTGGCTCCCAGGCAGAACAGGACAGCTGACTGCATTTCAGAGGTCACAGTCCCAACAGAGTTTCCAGCTGATGCCAGAGAAATCCGGGTTTCCTGGGACTGGTGAGTACATATATAAGAGTATGTGCTCTGGGCGAAGCATCCGGCTGGATGGTGACTGGTTCAGTATGTGAGGCTGCCTCTGACTTGGTTGTGCTGCAGTGGTGATTTTGCCTGTGTATGTGTGTTTTGATTCCCTCAAGGGTGGCCCCCAAGAAGCTGGGAATTCAGCTTGAAGTCGAGGCTTTGTCCTGGCAGGCTTCAGCCCCCCTGCTGAGTGGTAGGGTGGTGAGATGGACTGCCACCTAGTGGCAGGCCTGTAAAATGGGAGGGAAGGAACTGGAGTTGACCCAGTGCTTGGCCTTGTGCTCCAAGGCTTGGGTGCTTCAGGATCACACCTGATCCTCATAATTACCGTCTAATCAGGAATTGATGGTCCCTAGTTTACTGTTGAGGAGTCTGAGATTTAGAGATGTTCTAAGCCAGTGGGTTCCTGTCGTGACCCACAGGAACTGTATTAAAGGGTCCCAGCATTAGGAATATTGAGAACCTTCGAAGCCTTGCCCTAAGGCCGTGTAACTAACAAATGGGAGTTGGAACCCTTACTCGGCCTTACTCCACCTTACTCCAAGTCTTTTCTGCCTCACGAGAGAGCGTCTGACTTAGGTAAGTCTTGGTGGTCAGTCGTCAGTGGGCAGGAAGGCTAGCTGGCTAATCAGCCCAGTCCGGGAGGCCTGTGTGTAGCTGGTCCTTGGGCACAGGAAACCCAGCAGAACACAAGTGTTCACAGGGTGTGACTTGGATTAGCTTGGAGTTAAAGTGGTGCAGCCCCTGAGCTTCCTTGTACTAGATATTGGCAATATGAGTTAGGGGAACAAGAGAGACCCAGCACCAGCTCTCCAGGGACTCACAGATATTAAATAAACATTGTTAGGTGAAGACAATTGTGACAAAGACTACAGAGGAAAAGAACAGAGGGCATGAGATCAAGGGGAGGCCGCCTTCAGATGGAGTAGACGAGGAAAATCTCTTTAGGACTCAGCAGACGCTAAAGGATCTGAGTAGATGGCCAGGGGCATTGTTAAGGGTGGGCTGGAGGAAAGTACTTGCCAGCAGAGGTAATGGCAGCTATGAAGGTCCTGAGGCAGGAAAAGATTGTTGAGTTTAGGGATAGAAAGCTGGAGTTTCCTGGGCAGGGTGGAGGGAAAGGAGGGGGAGATGATAAGGTCCCTCTCCACTGGTCTGATCTTTTCTCCCATTTCCCAAGCTCCCGTTTTCTCAGGAGGCACCTTCCTAAGTGTTGGGGCCTATATTGAGCTTCTTGTACTAACTGGAGAGCAGCCTCCTGGCTGTGATACACTTTTAAAATCTGTTTCTCCGTTTTGTGGGAGCTTCCCATCATGCACCCCAGCCTGTATTCCTTTTACTCTTGCCTCTGGGGCTGTGCCCCACAGTAGCTCCAGAAATTCCTGCTATTAGGAGCTTGAGTTTTCAACCTGCTGCCAGGGAACAAGGTCCTTTTCCTCCTGGAGCTTCTGGGCCGGCATCCCAAGCTTTCAGTGCCTCCTTCTACCAAAGGAGGTTCAGGAAAAACAGGGCATGCAGAGGGTGTAGGCTGTGTGGGCTTCCCCCAGCTCAGCATATATATGGGTATGTGGGTGTAACTAGCAGTGTGTGCATCTGTGCTGTCTGGAAGGAGCAGCCCTGCACCCACACCAGGCACACGCCCGTGACATCACCCAGGCTAGCCCTGCCTGGGCCTCTTTCTGTGAGCACACATGCTTCAACATGCCCTGGCCTACACCACACTTGTGCGTAGAGAGGTGAGTCCCCTATGTGAGGAGAGTCCCAGCCCCACTGCCCTTATGAACTTGGCCTCACAGTTGTTTATTTAATAACCCTGCGAAAAGTGGTTGGCATTCAGAAAACACTGTCTAACTGCTTACCCAACATTGGCTTTTGTCCTCCTCATTATTGCCCTGAGAGAAGTACTTCTATTATCCCATTTTACAGATGAAGAAATTGAGGTACAGAGAGATTAGAGGGATGCCCATGGTCACACAGCTAAGAGGTGGCAGAGACAGGATTCGAACCCAGGCAGTGTGGCTCCAGGATCATTGCTGTTTTCACTCATGTGTTGTGTGTACACTTACCACTTAGCCTTATCACTTTCCAAAATACCCATATCTGATATAGTTCCTGTTTTCATCTTGTTCAGTGTTACCACAGGTTGGGTTCTTTGGGAAGCAGACTCTGTGACAGGTTAGTGGGGGTTTTTCTGTTTTGTTTTGTTTTTGGCCGGGGCTAGGCTCGAACCCACCACCCCTGATATACGGGCCGGTGCCCTACTCTTTGAGCCACAGGCCCCTCCCTGACAGGTTAGTGTTTATTGAGGAATGCTCTTGGGATTAACACCATGGAAAGGACAGGAAGGAAACAAGTGGATACTGGGGGAAATTAAAGAAAGTGCGATGCAGGCCTGATGACAGCCAGCCAACCTCCAGGGAGCTCTGTTGTCTGGCACTGGTCTGAAATTGTTGTGGCTTGCCTGAGGAAAGAGTTCAGCCTCTGTTCCATCAGCCGGATGGCTCTGTCCAGCTGCAGTGGTCTTTGAGGGGCCGACAGCTTTCCCAGTAGTTGGGCAACAGATTCTTTCTTGAAGGGGTTCTGGGTGGCACAGTGCTATGCCCACCATAAATGTATTCTTTTCTAGCCCTTTAAGAAACTGTTGAGTATTTAAAAAACAAAAGTATTGTACTATAGAAACAGGAAATGAGATTACAAAGAGGACCACAATATGGTTTATGGGTTAAGTTACATAGTTTGCTTTTGTAAGGTTAAGTCCGGGTCATAGTTGTGCCCTTCACCCAGTATACTGGTGCAACGTACCTGTTGGGTACCCCCCTTCAGTACCTGCTTTGAGTTATATGCAAATGTAGCTGAACTTCCTGGTAGCCAAAGCAATCTCTTTCTATCCTGATAATTGGCTCCTTGGAGGAGAAAATTTTCCTGGGTTTAAATTGTAAAGGAAGTTTCTTATAGTCATTTGATTGAAATAGTGACGAATTTTCTTAACAGGTGATTAGAAAATGTTGATACAGTTTTCATGTGCTCCTTGTAATGGCCTTGAATGAATATAGAGGGCAATTCCACATTTGAAGGGAGGCAGTTTTATGTCTTGCAGTGTCTAATTTGACCTATGCATAGAACTTTGTCCCTTTTCTCTAAACTGTTCTTTAATCTGTACTGAGTT